CATAGCAGAGGTGCTCCAGCCCTCTGATCATCTTAGTGGCCCTCCTCTGGACCCGCTCCAAGAGCTCTGCATCTTTCTTGTGCTGGGGACCCCAGGCCTGGGCACAGTACTGCAGATGGGGCCTCACAAGAGCCAAGTAGAGGGGGACAATCACCTCCTTCTCTCTGCTGGCCTCTTCTCTTTTAATGCAGCCCAGAACACAGTTGGCTTTCTGGGCAGCAAGTGCGTACTGCTGGCTCATGTCCAGGTTCTTGTCCACCAAAGTATGGATGTTCAATGGCTCCCAGAATCTGAGAAACTTGTGCTACTCACAGAAGTCTCAGGGTGTAGTAACTGAGAGATAGCAAAAGCTATTAAGTTCTGAAAGGAAATTGACTTTTTATAGTGACGAGGCAGCCAAGTTCTGGAGGATGGGATAGTTTTTCTTCAAGCATTTCTCCTGATTTCTCTATCAGTTGTTTTTCTGTTTGTTTTCTTATGGATTTGTAAACAGTAAAAATAAAGGTGATTGTTGAAGCATTGGTGTGGCTGATCAAGACAATCCAGGCCTTTTTTTTTCTTTTTATACTGTTCTATAGATCCTCTATTGCACATTTGCCCCCTACGTAGGTAGAAGCTATTTCTGTTAGGTCTTACTCATGATTTTTGCAGCTATAATTCTCAAAGTTTCCAATTTTCCAATGAGCAATTACCTAGATTTCACTGATTCCTCAATTGTCATCTTTACGTTTGTATTTTTTCCAGGATCTTCCCCCAAGTATTAGCATGGTTTTCTGTGTGAGGAAAATTTTTCTCATCTGTTCATTCTGCAGTAAACTCTTGGCTGTTTCGGCCTGCTACTTTTAGGTATTTTCACAGTCCTAGATAAAAAGTTGATCATTCAAAAAGGGAAAAGTTTGAAAGCCGATACAAACCCATAGGAAAATAGTTAAATAGAATCTAATTACAGTGTGAACTATTGCTTATTCTCAATAATTTATATTGGAAACATCCTCTTCCTATAAAGATAATTTCTAAAAGTGTTTCAGTATTCTAGATGTTAATCATGGTGGTTGTTCAGTTTTTGTTTTTTAATACATTCTGAACATCTCATTTACATCTTTTACTCTCAAATAAACATGCTTTCAGAGTTTCAAATACAGAACACTAGGTGTCCATTTACATATATGTGAGTGAAAATAGTTTTGTTTCATTTGTTATGTTATGATAGTGTACAATCTCTAACACATCTTGTGCAATATTAAAGGAAAATATTGTCCTTAAGAGTCTAAAAATACTGGTCACAAACAGAATAGTGGAAGGCAATTGAACACTTTAAATTAGTACTGTGAGCAAAGACAACAATGTCTTGCCAGTATTTATTGTATTCCTTTTCTGAATCTATTTCCAGGCAGTGAAGTGTTAACTGCTGTAGCTGTTATGCATATCAGTCTTCTGAGGGAACTTAAAATTTTGAAGAATTCTGGATTTCTGGTAATGAGCAAGAGAACCTCATGGCAGAAGCTAGTAACATTTGTTCTGTGGGGAAACCAGAGGTGGTTTGGTGACAGACAGCTGCGTATAGTTCTGTTGCATTTCATGAATTAAGAAAGTGTGTGGCTGTTTCTTGCAGAATTTCCTGTCCAGTCTACCATTCATTGATGTCTCTTCAAGAGAAGTGCTGAGATGTTAACTCCCACTCACATGCAAGGATATTGAAACCTGTGCAGTAACAATGAGCTTCAGAAACACAATTCAGAGTACTGAGAGACATATGGATATGGCCTGACATAATTTTCTAGGTCTAGATTTGGAAGATTTTGCTTAATATTTCAATTAAGTACACAGACACAGTGGAATAAATTAGTTAGTGTTTAGTTTGAAAGGAGAGTTGCTTTTACATAACCAATTTTTAATTTCAAGCAAAGATAATGGTTGTACTGTATTTGATATTTCTTGCAAGCCCCCAAATCGTTTTCCTACAAGCTCTGCAGCATTACAAGAAATAAAATTAAAAAAAGAAAACCAGAAAAACATTAAATACATACTGAGCTGTTTTAATGTGTCAGCTGTTAATGAAGGACGTAATAATAGAGCTGTAAAGAAAATGCGTAAAATACTGTCAAGAGGTTTAAATGGGGAGGGGAAATATCTTAATTGTTGAATTTAATTTTCTGGAGTTAAGTTCAGGCCCCTGGGGTCTGGAATATCCAATCTTTACAGAACCAGGGCTGAGGTATGAATCTAACTCTTGAAAGATCAAATTGCTGCCGAACTTGCATTAGAAGGCATTCAGAATGTGAGAGGATGCCCTGGTTAGTGCAGCAGCAACAGAGGTAACGTTATCCAGTAGTTTATACACATGCATGTGTTCAAATCATCTTTAAGCAAAAGGCAATTTATTAAAGGTATAATATATTTTCTAACATTTACTTGCAGTGATCTGGGGTTCGGAGGGTAAAGGATGTAAAGTTCATCTCTGTTGCACAATACGACAGGTTTGAGGGTGCTTTGTCTTCTGCAGAGCATCAGGAGAGAGAGGGAAGAACTGGAGTGTTTCTCCAAACCACCTCCCAAGGAGTAAAGAATAACCTAGAGGGGGACTGTCCTCAGATACAGGGTTATCTGGAAAAGCTGTATTGTGAAATGTAAATCACTCTTGGCAGCGTGTCTTGTTGGAGAAACTCAAGGGGAATTGAGATTGTTGTATTTCTTTATGTAGAGCTACAGCTCTCTTGATTCCCATAGCATTCCTACATAAATAGTGCTTACACAGATATTTTTTTGGAGTTCCTTTAAGAGTTGTTTGTTGTGAAAAAGCAGACTTGATGGTTCCTCCTTAGAAGAGCGCAACAAAGATGCAGATCTCTTGTCAGAAATTCTTTGTTTTACCTTTGTAAGAGAATATACCTTTTTGTGCACTTGAAAAGATGACTTACTTTACGTTTGGATATTATATTCATTTGATAAATATGGCAAGTCCTAAACTTAGGCTTTCGTCTTTGAATGGAAGATCACTTACAGAGCAGGGGCATTGTTTTGTCCTTTTGAGGGGCCCTGTTACTTTTAACTATTGCTTCAAATTTCCTTAGATTCTTTTCCTACCAGAAATAAAACAAAAAAAAGCACAACATTTGATAATAATAATAATGGTATTTTAGTCCTAATAAGTTTAATTAACTTACCACTGAGAAAATACTTTTATGATATCTTTTTGTATTTATTCCTAGTCTCTTCTTAAGGGATTTTTGACTCTGTGTTAGCATACCAGAAATACGTTATTTGGCTGAGCCTGTGAACAACTTGAACTCTAAGCACTTTCTCACTAGAATTTAGGAAAATGCCACTTTCTTGCAATGGAAATATGCATTTCTGCTGGGTGTGGTTCTCCTATCTCACGCCTGGTCACCTGGGTGGATCTGACTTGATCTCAGACTTCGAGAATGCATTTTTCTGAGGAAAATAGAAACAGTAGTTAGTAACCTAGTAACTCCCCTTACACAGTGATTTGCTTTAAACACTTGAAAGACATTTGTATCCTGAAGTTAGAAATAGAAGTCAATTTGATTTTGAAACTCCTCATTCCTTGGTTATTGGCTCTAGGTATGAAGCGTGGAGCACCATTTTGGCTCTTGCTTTTGTCTTGTCTGCTTAAACCAAGAAGTGACTAAAAATAGCCTGGAAGATGGACAGAAGAACTCGATACAGTTGTCTGATATATCGTAACTGATAATATTTTCAGTTACTGATTATTCATATTATTATCCTTAGGGAAAGATTACCAAAAATTCTAAGACAATTCTGTTGACATTTAGAGCCATCAGTTTTGTTTGTTTTGTTTTTTTCAATTGAGCTCTGTGCAGAATTAGATACAATATAGTACATTATAGTACATGTTGGTGCCATGTGTCAGATCCTCATGATGATTAACGAAAGCAGAATGCTAAGATAAAGTCTCTTAAAATATTGTTAGAATATGTATTTCTCAAATGGATTTGAACTTTCTTCCCCTTTCTTCAAACTTATTTTTCGAAAACTTTAGCACTCGGAAAATAGGATGAGACCTAAAGCTTCTGAGATTTAGAGCAGGAAAGAAGGAAGTCCTTGAAATTGTAGCCAACTGGTAGAAGCCTCAGGCTCTGTCTGGTTCTTGGAAGATCTAGGATTAAAGTGAGAGTTTGTTTCCACTTTTAGCTCCCGTGTTGTATTCTTATGTCAGAAAAGAAAGAATTGACCACAAAATGATAAGCATGAAATTGACTCCAAATCTTCTTTTTGCTGATACATACAACCATGTGTTTGTATGCACAGATATGTTTCTTGATTACCTGGTTTGGGAAGGACTTCACTACTGGCACAGATCCGGGAGGCTTAGATCAAAATACCCCATTTCTCAGCTGACTGTCCTAACCAGTAACCCGTTTAACATTTTGTGCTCCGTTGGTCTATCATCCTTTTTTAAAGTTGTTATTATTCTTTCCATACAAAAAAAAATGACGCTGGTTCTGAAATAACATCTGTATTTTAAACTTGAGAAAGAGATATGCTCTGACCATGTAGCAAGTTGCTTCCTTCAGGAAAAAGTTGCCAAATTGTCTTTTCTGTCATTATTAAGGAAAAAAAAAAATCCTAAATTAGACATGTATCTGTAACAGATGTTTGTGCAATCTGTTTTCCTATGGAGGGCAGCTTTTTCTTGGGTACAGTTTTAGAAGCAGAGTGGTGAGGTTGTTACAGTCTGACTCAGGAAGGGAAGCTCAAGAGGAGCTGAGGTGGGTTAGGTGACCTGATGGAGTAAAGATGTGTTTCCAAATCTCTGTAGTAGAGGGAGCGTCATTCTGTTATGTATTTAGACAGTAGATTGAACAATGACAAGGAAACTGGAGGCATGGGGAGTGATTGCAGCTTCTTCCTCTGTTTTATTGAAGAATTTCTGTACATTGTGAAAGAGGAGATTTTTGGTTCTGGATCTCCATTCAGGAATCCGTCTTTCTTACCAGACTTTAGAAATGTAGAAGAGCGTAGAGTATTACATCTAAAAAAAAAAAAAAAAAAGAAAAAAAATGAGTTCACTTTGATGGAAGAGTATTATTACAAATGCTGTGTTAAAAGAATCTTCTCAAAAGGTAGACTTCAGGTAAAGAAAAGATTCCTTTTCCTTTTTTTTTTTTTTGTCAGTTTGCTATACAAATAAGCCTAAAATAAGTATCTTCCAACAGTTTTCTCACTGTAGTTGAGAATATTTAATTCTTTTTTGTAGGTGTGTTGTTTAATTCTGTTCTTACATTTTTTTGTTACAGGAGCTAGAGTTAATGCCAAAGACAGCAAATGGTTGACTCCTCTACATAGAGCTGTGGCATCTTGTAGTGAGGTATGCTTTTTTTTTCTTTTAAACTGCTTTGTATTATTTTAGAATGTCTCGAAGTACCTTCTGTTCTTTGTTCAGTTTTCATGAAATGCAACTACTCCCAACGTTTTGAGTTGCAGAACACCTGCACCGGTTTGTTTAACAGGCTGATGGTATGTACATGTATATCATATGTCTGCGTAGGAAGAAAGGGGGCAAACAAACACAGTTCTCAGCTTTGCTTTTTGATTAAATGCTACCTTCCTAGCAGAAAAGATTGCGTGTGTAATATTCCGAACTCCTCTGCACGTTTTTTGTAACCAGAATGGTTCACTATGAGGGAACTAGAGATAAAATAAGATTTAATATGGCTTTTGCAGCATAATCTGTCTTTTTTCGTACTAGACTGTTCAGACTTGAACAAATATATGATTCTATGAGACCTGCAAAAACATTTAAGAAACAAAAGACAAAAAATCTCCATTAATGAGTAATGATAGTACTGTAAACAAAGCTTGTAAATGAAATATTTGGAACATTTTTGAAGCCTGGCTGTAACACAGCTATGGGAATATAGTGATTTAAGTGTACGTTTGTTGTTGTTCCTCTATTGTTGTTGTCCTAATAAAAATTTTAAATGCCTGTACAAGATCAAAACAAGCAGAAAAATCCTGAGCTTTTGTGGAAGAGTTCATAGAGAGCTATCTTCTTTGAGATCTTGAGTCACATTGACGCTCACTTCAGTATGTCTCAAAAGTAAAAGTGTTTTGGTTTTGTGCTGATTATTATTACTTTTTTTTGATGCTTCTGTGCAAACTTTTGCTTGAGAAGAAGAAGCTCAGCGCTTGCAAAAACCATACTATTCAATTCCATCAAGTATTTGATCCATGAACTATCTAAACAGTCACTGTGTCAGCTTTTGCCTTGGATAAGCTGTATTATTTTATTGCTAGCATTAATAGCTAAGTTATGTGGGGATTGTGTTATTCAAAGCAGTGTTTGAAAATCGATCTCTGAGGGAGCCCTTGGTAGGAAACACTGTTTGTTCTTTTTGTAGTATTTTTAGGCTGCTCCTTTGGGAGCTCTCTTGAAGCACTGATACTTCATTCCTCAAAGGGACAAAACTTCATTAAATCAGTAAAACGTGCAGAGAGGAGTGCTGCAGTCAAAACAGGACTTAAGTTGTAACTAAAATGAACATAATCACGCTCCTTTTTAAAAATGTGGAATATTTTCAAGAAAAAAATACTAAGCAAAGGCAAACAAAGCTTGTAAACCAATCAAATGATTTGTCCTAGTGGCACTGACAGGCTCTTATCAAATTTTTCTGTTTGTAAGCATGGCATGTCATTGGAGACCATGTAGATGCAGCAATGGTTGATGTGTGTGGGGACTGCTTTGTGTTCGTCTGACATTCATCTGAAGTTTCCAGCCGTTAGATGAAAATATTCTTGGTACTCGTCTCAACAAAGCATGTGGTCTTAGCCTTGAAGCAAGGGCACTGCGACCAAACAAGGACATTGCATCGTGCAAAATAGCTGGTACTGTGGATTTTGCTGCCAGCTGCATGAGTTCAAACAATTTCATGTCAACACTGCAGGAGTCTAGGCCTTAATATGTGCATACCTGGGAAAATCTAAGCAGTTTTGCTAATCTTTGCACGTCATTAAATAAACAGTGAAATGGAAGATAAATTATGCTGTTTTCCTATTTTACTATGGTGCTTCCTTCTGCAAAATAGTTAATAGGTGTTTTAAAATTTCACCATTCTGATTATAATTTTTCTTTAGATTTGGTTCACTGTAGCCAACAGATCAAAATATTGACTAAATTTTGAAGTATTAAGTCTGATGAACTTTCTCTAAGAGAATAGAAAGTATTCAATTTCACACTTAAGTTACAAGCTACTGATGTCACTTTTATGTTTGTTCCTGTTTTGTTTTTTTTTTTTTTGGTAGAAGAAAATTCCATTAATTAGATATAAATTATATTATCAGTGTTACTTAGCATTTTGCTTGTAGGTAAAACTGCTCTATTGAGTAGTGTCAATATTCTTATATCTATTGTAGTTTTCATAGAAATAAATAGGAGGCATTGCTTTCAGAGAGACCTATTTTTGTGCTCAGTGTTTGAATTGAAATTCACTTAAAGCAGTTAGTGAATTGTGGGAAGGACATGGCGTTGATGTGAAGTGCAGTATTTATTACCATGGTAATGTCAGTGAGAGGGTTTTTTTCTGCCTTGCAGTTATGTGCACATATTTTAGTTGGATTTGTTTATCTTACTCATAAAGTTTTCATAGCTTTTGCATCTAATGAAAGGAAATGAATAATGTTTTTGAGACGTGGATTTTGGTGTAACATTTTGAAACGTTTTTTCAGGAGTTTCACAAGAGTGTATGTTGAAACTCTTTATGACCATGCTCTGTTTTATCTGTGGTTCTTTAAATGTACATTTAATAAGTTACTCTGTCTTTCTGCCATTTCTAGACTTTTTCAGTTCCAACATTTCGCTTGGCAAATAGATGAAAGTGCATTTTAGGTTTATGGTATGTCACTAATCCTTGGTAATGAAGGAAGTCCTAGGGAGGTTTATTGAGGTTTGTAAATTAGTTGTGTTGACAAAACAATTTGCCTGCTGGTTTGGGGAATTGGAAAAAAGACCAGGAAACAGTTGATGCAATTGAAATCTGTAGGGAATATGTTCTTCATGTCCTTGAGAAGATCCCAAGTCTGGATTTATGGTAGTACAAATCTCAAGGAATAAGAACGTTAACAAAAGAACAAGTTGCAGACAGTTGTTTTCCATTATGTGTTATATATAGTGTGTGGTTTGTATATGCTCATGTGTATTTGGATTTAACACATAACATCTGAAATCTTTACTGAGTGGCTTTATTTTTTTGTAAATGTTCTCAGGATGCTGTTCAGGTGTTGCTAAAGCATTCAGCAGATGTCAATGCTCGTGATAAAAACTGGCAGACACCCTTACATATAGCAGCTGCAAATAAAGCTGTGAAATGTGCCGAAGCTTTGGTGCCTCTTCTGAGTAATGTAAATGTGTCTGATCGGGCAGGTAGAACTGCGTTGCACCATGCAGCCTTCAGTGGACACGTAGAGGTATGAACTAATTATCTTTGCTTGCTTGCTACTTACTGTTCTGTCCAACACACTTCTAATTTTTTATTTCTTGGGTTATAATCATGTTTTCCCCTCCCATCCCTTCAAAAACCGCAAACCAAGCTCCTATTTTGTATTTTAGTTTGTCTTTTACGTGCATTTGTGTACAAATTGGTTGTGTTACATCATCTAGTTGGAAGGTTATTACAGTATTCACCTCTCTGGATATAAGCAAATTTGCCTGAGTGGAGTTTAAATTAGTAATAGTTTTCAAATCCTAAAAGTGACAAGCTTGGCACTTGGCTTGGTTTGACTTGACTAGGATTGCCAGTTCAGTAATTACCTTTAGTACACCCCTTAGCCTGAAGATCTCTTCTTTGCTGTATTTGCCACATATTTGCCCTGCTTAGCTTATAAATGTTTCTGTTAACATTGAATTAAGGGAATTAGTCATTTTGTTATTTTTGCCAAGGTGGCTGGGCAAGTTTCTTTAAGCACAAGGAATATTTTAAAAAACAGCACATTTAAATCCTTTGAAAACACATAATTTTTTTTTGTCTTCTCCTGTTATTTTTCTTTGTCTAACTTTAAGCAGAGTTTTCCATTTTGAATAGAGGATTTCTTCTCTTCCTTTTTATCCCAGATGGTCAGCTTACTGTTGTCTAGAGGAGCCAATATTAATGCATTTGACAAGAAGGACAGAAGAGCTATACATTGGGCAGCATATATGGGTATGTATGTGTTTGCAGTTGTTTACTATTCTGGTAGTAAAAAAAAAAAAAAAAAAAAAGTGATCAGTTAAATTTTGGTACTGATTTCAAGAGGAGAGCAGTTGATGATTCCATTATCTTGTTTGTTACTCATTGTTTAAGCTTATTGTTTCATTATCCAGCCAAGTGGAAAGAGTAAAAGCAGTAACATCGGTCTTCGATGAATCCACACGCCTGGGAATTTCTTTGAGTATGAACTGCAGAACTGAGACCTTGTAATATGTAATTTCTTATGCCTGTTAAGTTTTGAGAATCTGCATTTTCTTTGTATTTAATACCTGAAATGCTAAATTCTCTTGAAAACACATATTTTATATACATGTGATGTTACATTACAAAACTTCAGAAGAACGTGTTCCTATTCTTTACAGAGATTATCCAAAGATGTGAAACCTGTGTTGTTTCTTTTTTCAGTTAGACTAAGAGAAAAATAGCACTTAAATCCTCTGTCTCAGTGAAAACCTTAAACTGTGCTTTATAGAGGCACAGCTTGATTTTTGTTGACAAACAATTAAGTTAACACTCAGGAAAAATAATTTCTAGACTGCCGTTTCCATAAGTAAAATGAGTATTTTTTAATGTAGCTGCTCACCAAAAAACAAACATGCTTTAACTGGGAGACTACAGACTCATTCACATCACTTAAGTCTAGGATAATTCTTTCTTGAGAGTCTGATCCTAGACAAAATATCCCTGAATATGCAGTTTAATATTCATGTTCATTATTGCAAGTTATACAATTGCTTGTAAGTAAGCATAATGCATTGCAAACATTTATGTGCAGTGTGGGGGAGGAGGTTCTTAAAAACAGACTTAAGGTTGCTAACTAAATGCTGTTACACAAAAAGAAGTGGCATCAAGTATCTTTCAACTGCTTTCCCAGTCTTGCAATAAAAGAGGAAATAAAAGCAATAACTTGGAAATAAGTGGAAATGCAATTTCAAACTTACCTACTGAGCAGAGCCAAAGAGCAGAAGTATGTGTAAATTTACCCTGTATAAATACTGTTTGATGAAAAAACTTACCAAGTTTCAGGGGGCTGATGATGAATTGTTCTTTGTATGAAGTATCCTTTGGTCCAAGGACTGATGATTCTGTTCTTTACAAATGAAAAATGAAGTTTCATTTACAGATTTAAGCTTGCTTGCAAGGTCTTAGTGATTGTAAAAGTGATCATTTCAGAAATACCTGGATTCATTAAAAAAACACAATTATTAACTGTTGTCTTTACAGAACTCTGTTTTAGGCTGATTTCACATTAGTGATTTCACGTTAGATCTGTTTTTGCCAGTACAGATCTGAAGTAATCTAGTAGCAATGTAAAATAAGCCTGTGAAATGTGAGAAAGAACAGTCTTCAGAAGAAAAGACTTATGCTAGTAAATTATGAAGAGATTGTGACAGCATTCATGCTCTTAAGTTGTAGTTTGAAACTCCATGACGTTACACTTCACGTACAGGTACCAGTTTAATAGAGAACTTGGAGAACAATCTTCATTAATGATCCGATATTTCTTTGGATTATTTTGTATTAGAGTTTTGTGACCTACTTGTAGACTTCTGTGCAATTTCTTATGCAGTTTCTGTGACAGGCTGTTCACCTCAAGGCGGTTATTTGCAAAAATTTTTGAATGAAAGTCAGTGCATGAGATGGCAGAGATTTGACAAGCATCAGAGAGGACAGACATATTTTCTGGCATGTGCTCACCCAGGTGGAAAAAGTCTTCCATTTTTCAGATAAGCTACATTTATTCCAATTTTAGTTAGAGCTGTTCTGTAGGATATTAAATGGAAATTTTTTTTGCTGAACATTTCTCACAATTTAATGCCATTTCACACTGCTCCGGTTTCTAGGAGGAAAACCGAAGACCTTTCCCACTGTATAAAATAGACTGCAGAGTAAAAGAGACGTTGTGCTTTTCGTCACACTCCTATAAATAACTTTATAGGCCTATAGCCATTGTTTCCCTTCCTTCCTGCTTTTCACCCAGTTCCATTGCTCTCTAGCTGCAACGCTGCAAGCGGTGGGCTTTCATTTGTGAGTCTTAGCGTTGTCCACAGAGTGTGTGGGATGACTCCTGTTAACTTCCTACTGCTCTTCTGTTTGAGTATCTTCCATTGACTGCTGCTTGCGTTTTAAATGCAGGTCAGGGATTTTCTTTTGTGTGTTCTTTTTTTTTTTTTTTTAAATATTTACTTCTGTACCACTTTGTATTTCTCTTCTTTTCACCACTTACAATATCCTTTGTACTTCTCTCTCTGGTGTAGGGATTGATTGTTTTCATTTTTGTGCCCATATTATTTGGGTCACAAGATGAGTATCGTGTTTAAATTTATTTCTGTGTCTTTTCTAAAATACTAAAGTTGTTCAGAAATGCAGAGTTGCAGCACCTCATATTCCTCTGTATAGCTAGGTGAGGATCTTTTTGTATTTTGGGGGGCATGCAACATAAAATATATAGTGGCTGACTGAATATTTATTAAAGCATTTTTGTATTCCCTTGGGTAGATATTTCCTTCCCAAACTTGTGCACGTTCTTTTAGTCATTAAAGAAGCAGAGCTTCACTGTTTATGAAGCACTGAAACTGAAGGTTGTATTTGATGCGTTGCACTTAAGAATCTGGATAATGTAAGTTTTATGGTTGTTGTTTTTGTGTGGGGTTTTTGTTTTTGTTTAATATTTGTAAATAGACTAAAGGTTTTACTTGAAAAGTAAAAAATCCTGTTTCTTTCTGTACAAGTCAATGACAGAGGTAAAGCTCTCCATTTATCATTGTTAATTTACCATAAGTTTTCTCAATTCTATAAACTTTGTCGTGATTATTGAAGTGGCATAAACTCTCGTATTCTTAGTGGTAATTTGTTTGACAGATGTACTCAGCAACAAGAACAAAGATTTGACTAGCTTATTTTCATGGCTTCTGTCTTGGAGCACAGAGCCTGGTAGCCTGAAGGCTGGTGGTGGAGCCAGCAGGCGCCAGCAGGGGAAGGGCTGACTTGGGCCTTGCCACAGCATTGTATGGCTGGGAGAGATGCCACCCGTTGGTTTGGGCTGCCTGTGGTTTTATTCAGAAATAGAATGTTGTCTTCTTTTCTGGTTGGATTATGATATTTCTTTCAAAGTTTGTGCTGAAGGCCTTAGAAACCTTAATGCATCTGCAGTTGCGATGAAGAGGGAAGTCTGCAAGTGAGATTCTCTAATCATTAACAGAAATTTGCAGTGATTTCAAATAATGACAAAGTTGAGTCACCTCAGTAGTTTTCGAATTTTCAGAAAACCTCTTCGATATAAGCAGAAGCCAAGAGTTTTTCATGTACTGAATTGATTTTGAACTAAATGGTGCGATTATTGGAGGGAGTTATGTTCAGATAACCTCATCTGGGGATGGGCATTGTGTGTTGCTTCTATACTTCACAAAAGAATTAGAAAACGTAAACACTCTTACTTTCCAGATCAGATCCAAATGAGTCAGTGTCTTGTTCATCTTATAATAGCTGTACAGTTCGTATTAAATGCAGCTTCATTTTTTTCTTTGTCTGTTCTTTTAGGTCATATCGAAGTTGTGAAATTACTTGTGGCCCATGGAGCAGAAGTAACATGCAAAGACAAGAAATCATATACACCTTTACATGCTGCAGCATCTAGTGGGATGATCAGTGTAGTCAAATATCTTCTCGATCTTGGAGTTGATGTAAGAAAGAATAAAAGTGATTTTTTTTTTTTTTTTGTTCTTGTTTTAAATGCTCTTGTTTGTATTCTAGCACACTGTTTCATGCTTCTTCAGGATATAGTGAAAATAGAGAAAATATTTCCAAGTATCTTCAATCGTATACTTTTGTGGTGGTGGTTTTGTTTTGTTTCACTTTGTTCTCGTTGTAAAACTTATTTTCCCCAGGTAACTTCAGAGCTTTGCAATTTTTGCTGAATTATTTAGAAATAGCTTTGTGTTTCTTACTTTTATTTTGTTCAGTTGCTATTTCTGACTCCTAATGTATCAGACTGAAACAGAGGAAATAGGAATTCCGTTCCTGGCTTTGCCCCACACATCCTTTTGGAACTGCAGGAAATAAAACTCTTTTGTCTCCGTTCCTTTTATGATGTAGATGTTACTGAATTCCATATGTATGTACCACCTCTATTTTGGGAAATACTGCAGATTGTCAGGAACTTTAATAGTACAGTAAGAAAGGCCATATTAATACTGAAATGCAAAGTAAATTAAAAGGCTGCACAGTATCTGCACATGGAAAGTATGTAACAGTGAACTGTGAAACCATGTAAGGAAGGTACACTGTGCATTGTATTTAGTCTTGCAAAGCTGAGTAACACCACTGAACTTCTATCTTGAAAAGTAGATCAGAATTCAGTATCACACTGTACCCAATTCTAATTCCCTGCACTCCACTTCCAAAAAAATACTTTGGAATCTTCAGTTTAGAGATCAAGTCTAATGTTTTTTATCATGGTTACCTAAGCAGTGGCACTATTATTATAATTCATTTGCAAAGCATTTGAATTTGCATTTTAGAAGTGGTTCATAACCAAAATTCGTGTTACACTCAGTTCCTTAATATTATTAGAAATATCAGCTTGCATTTTTGTGTTTATGTCCACATTCTCCTATAGATCTAGGAGTTCTATATTTAAAGCTTCAAACTCAGTTTTGAGAGACTCAGTCCTTCTGACACCTGTTTTTTTGGAAACCTGCAAATGCTGTTGAGAAATGTTGAGGTCCTGCAGTGCTTAAGGTGCTAGTCTGTAGTGTCAGTGCAAATAACCACTGCTGATAGTTTTTTTTAATATGTTTTCTCTCAAGTTACATACTGCATACAGGAAACTGGCATGGACACAATTGGAGGAGGTTAACTGAGCTGAAAAGCAGTCATACCTCATGTTCTGTTTCAAAGTAGTACATCCAGAACTTGCTCTTAATTTCTGGCTTTGAAAAATTCCAAAACATAATGAAATTATGAAATTTTCTGTGTGTTAAATGCTACGGTAAAACAGGTTTTTGCCAACTAACTGATTGTATTTTTTGGTTTGTTTGTCTCTTAACAGATGAATGAACCAAATGCCTATGGAAATACTCCTCTTCATGTAGCTTGCTATAATGGACAAGATGTTGTAGTGAATGAACTCATAGACTGTGGTGCTAATGTAAATCAAATGAATGAAAAGGGGTTTACACCTTTGCACTTTGCTGCTGCATCAACACATGGAGCACTGTGTTTGGAACTTTTGGTCTGTAATGGAGCAGATGTAAATATGAAGGTAGGTGAATCCAAAACCATCCATTCACTCTTAACAATGTAGTACATCTTTTTCAGAAGTGATTTTTAAAGCTTTCAATGAGGCAGTGATTGGAGTTCCAACTGACTGATGTAATATTTCTGTGAATCATAATGTAGAAAAAAATAAGACAGTTGCTTCAAGGAAGTTGGTCTAAATCTTAGCTGTCTCTATGGGAGATAGTAAGGATAATGAAAGTTGACAATACTATCTAGTCAATCTTGGCTACGTTTAATTGGCAGAAGTCCCTATTATTTTGTTTTCCTGATTCTGTCTATGTGATTAAGAGCACAATGAAAACGCAAAATTACATATTTTTCTTATAAATAAGCAACATAAAAGAAATTCAAGATTTTTCAGAGAAATGTATATGAACAGGATAAGGTGGAGAGCTCCGCCAGCAAAAGATCCTAAAATCTAGGAGGGTGGAGTTTCTTTCATATTAAAGTTAGAAAGGTAAGTAGATTGGGCTGATGAAAAGTCTTGAACAGATATTCCAGCAAAACTTTATGAACAGAGCTGCCATACTTATAACATTCTTGGTCATAGTTCTTTGGTGCAGAATATTCTTTAGAATTCTAATTCTTTAGAATTAGTCTTAGTGAAGAGATCATTTCTAATCCACCAGTTATAAAAACAAACTATAACACAAATATCACATTATTTTCTTGAGTGTGTAGGTAAATGACTACATTTGGTCAGTTATAATACAGAATAACATCAGAAGCTGTGCAAAGAGCAGCTAATGTATTCAAGTTGACTGACAAAGCTTCTGAGATCTTTGGTGCTTATAATATGGGTGAAGTGTTGTTTGGAGGTGACAAAATGTTCATTGACATCAGAGACATGTTTCCGTCCTGCCCACTTGATTTTAAGTTACTGGATCCAAAGCATAGATTTCATGGTTCCTTTAATTATGAAGATAAATCTTGGATTTAATCAGAAGAATAATCCTTAAAAAAACAGCAAAGGGAAACTTAAGTTAGAATCTGTGTGGCTGATAATCAGTTGCAAAGTTGGAATTGGATGCTTTTAGAGCTTTCCTACTAAGTATTTATTGAAATGAAGCTTGTTCAGTTTCCAAATACTGAGGCTGATGTTCAAAGTAGTTCTTACAAAGTAGTTCTAGTAGGGAATGCAAAATGTCTTAGAAATACGTTACATTTCTTTTTAAATTAATTTTGAACAGAATGTATTTTAAAAAAATCACTTATTGACTATGTTGTGTTTTTTCATTTGTACTGCAAGATTATTTTATTGCTTATTTTGCTGTCCTTTGCAAGATCTTACGTTGTTTTTGAGGGTTCTCCTTCGGTCAGCTCACTACTTTCTAATACTGTCACCTTTGGTTATTCCTGAAGTCCCTGTGAGGTGCTGTACCAGTGGCACTTGGGTCTATTTTTTTCCTTCTCCTTTGAGATAGAGTTTTAACAC